TCCGTGCTGCTGGGTTGCGATGGCTGAGACACCCGTGGCTGTGCCAGCTGCTCCCAGGCCAAGCAACATTGCGATGGTTATACCTGTGATGATTTCCCTTTTCTTTTTGGAGTCTGTTAGGTTCCTCGAGAAGATGGTATATCTCTTCATCTGAGTCATACAGGACCCTGGGGACAATCAGAACTTAAACACAGAAATCGGTAGAGTCATTAAATTTGGCAAGGAACACACAGGGACTCACTCCGGATTTTTGGCAAACCCACATCCCAGACGCAGATGGGATCACCCACTTGTTAGTTTTTCTGTTGGGTTTTGTCGGAATCTGTGGGTATTGGTGATTCCAAGATTGTAGAAAGTCTCTGTCTTTCTGCCCCGTTGCCAAAGAAGAAGCCATAGTTCGTCTGTGCTGGTTTCAAGGTTGTTTATTTTTGCTTATCTATAACATGTTCTGCTGCCCTGCCGCAGGTCTGTCCTGCAGGGCAGTGTGCGGGGCTCTGCCCCTCAGTGGGATGGTACAAACATTATATACCAGAAATTACGTGTACTATATTTACAATAATGTGCCAATATCTATCATCTACGTTGAATAGTGTGTCCCCAGCCTAAACCAATAGAAAAATGCCAACATCATCAAGAACATGGAGGTAAGGAAGAAGAAGGAGGAAGAACAGGTTCAGGCCCACTTTCCTCCATCTTAGAACTCCTGACCCCCCTGTACAAAGTAAAACCCCCCTATACAGGTGTTAAAACCCCCCTGTACAATACTAAAAAATTTTACCCTCTAATTTGTGACTACTTTTACTATACCATCTAACCCTCTGTGACTGCTTGTTCCACCTTCAAAGTTGGTAATTCATTCCATGGTTCAAACTCAAGATCACAGCTGTTTTCATCTGCTTGCCAGGGTCTAAAATGCTTCTGACCAAGGCCTGGAACCTCTAAAAATGTCTGAGGGACATTTTGAGTTCCGACAGGGTTTGACAACTTTAGTGCAGAAGTTGCCTTTCTGCTTTGCTAAGGTTGCATTTCCAAAACATCTGCCCTGTCCTGTGATTTGACTCAGGGTGATTCCTCTGCGGGGAGTGTCCCACCTGCACTGGTGGGGGGCGCTGGCTGTGGAGTAACTGAAGGGGGCGTCTAAAGCAATGCCTTTGTAGAAAGGGGGTTTGACATCATAGCAAAGCCAACAGGAGTTAGTTAGGTTTGGTTTGGTTTCGTTTAGGGCTAGGAAGGTAGCTTGTAGCATACGAAAGATTTGGTTTGGGTCTGACTCAGCCGTGTGGCCTATCTGGGGGGTATCTGCAAAGCTGGTCGGGGTGTCAGTGACTTTTGGGGGCAAGGTTTTGGGGTGGGTTGTGTTTTTCCCTCTCAGCACATTCTTGATAATTTTGTTGGGTCCCACTGGTCGAGGTGCTGGTGGTTGGAGCCTGATAATTCGTACATTCACCCACCTCCTCGGTCCTCTGAGGACCACTGTCCATGTTCTACCCGTGGCCCAGCTAGGGTGATCTGGCTGTAGGACAGTCATGTTATAACTTATGCATCCCCGATATTTAGGCTGTGCATTGTGGTCTCCGCAGCCTAAGGGTGCCCAGGTGAACTGTAAGAATTTGTCTGGCTCCTGCGGTTGCCACCCGTCTCCCCATGGTCTGGCATCTGTAACAATGGTTTTGCAGCCCCAATATCCACAATGTCCCTACCCTGGGTAGTCATAGTACCTTTTCCCTGGGTTGGACGCTGGGCACCAGTAAGATATGTACATGAGTATGATGTGTGGGCTTGAGGGCCGTAGTTTTGGTTGTCCTGGAAACAGATCGGCTATGTGGAATACGAAGGATGGGGTGTTTGCTGTGGTGACCTCTTTGAACACCTTGTCACTTGAAAGATGTTGCATGACCCATCTGAACGGCTGGTGAGGGTAGTGGCCTGGGTCGGCTTGCCCCCCGGCCACAAGCCCCAACAGCAAAATTGCACAGAGACACTGTGCATGTCTGGGTCTCACCGCTGTGGGACGCTCAGGTTTTGTCTGGTGGCTTGGTGGTCCGTCATCTCTCTCTGGAGCAGGAGTGTGTGTGTCATGGGGACGGTCCACGAGCGTGTCCTGCAAACAAAAACTCACAGTTTTCCATTAATTTCATTCTGAAGGTCAGGTTTGATTGACCTGAGTGGACACCATCTGATCTTGTCCTCTTTTTTAACTGCCGCGTACCCTCGTCCCGTAAGCACCAGTCTCCAGCCCCGTTCCCACTCGCCTAGCTCGTTTTTGACCATGACCTGTGGGCCCTCCTCTAGGGTCTGAGTGGCCCAGTGCTTTCGAATGGGACTGTTTGCTTCATCTCCCCTAGGGAATTGGTTCAGTGCTAGTAATGCGGTTGCTAGCATGCGCGTCTGGTCTCCTGAGGGAATGGAATTGGCAAAGCCCTCTGCCTTTGCCAATACTTCTAACTTGGCTTTTAGGGTCTGATTTGCTCGCTCAACAATGGCCTGTCCGGTGCTGTTATATGGGATTCCCTGCGCTAAGGTGATACCCCACACCGAGGCGAATTCCCGCACTGATTTGGAGATAAAATTGGAAGCATTGTCAGTTTTAATTTGCTTGGGGATACCAAGCCATGCCATAACTGTCAGCCAGTGCTGGATTGTGGCCTTGGAGTTGGGTTTGAGGTGCTGTGTTGCTATGATCACTCCGCTGTAAGTGTCCACTGTCACTGCAAGCCATGCTCGGGGCTTCAGCAGTTCGCAGAGAGTGAAGTCTGACTGCCAGATTTCTGACGCCTTGAGGCCTCTCGGGTTGACTCCACCGGTCCATAGGGGTGACTTCTGGCAGTGGGGGCAGGTGTCTCGCGTCTGCTGTCGAGATCCCGCATCTCTTTGCCAGTGCTTTGGCTCCGATGTGGAGTGACTCGTGCAGCTGACGAGCTTCCTGCAGCGTCCACACTCCCTTCGCTGCGGCATCTGCTTTGTCATTTCCAGTCTGGAAGAAGCCCTTGACTGGGTTATGGCTGTTGACGTGGATGACGGACACGGTGCCCTGGCGTGAGGAGAGTGCCTCTTCGAGCATGGAGGCCGTCGTGGATGCTGACACACCTGGTCTTGACATGGCTAGGCAGAGCTTTGCCACGAATATAGAGTCTGTCACGATGTTGAGGTGTTCATCTTGGAAGAGTCCGCACGCCAAGACCACTGCTGCTGCTTCCAGCTGTTGCACTGACAGCGTGGGGTCACATGTTTTGACGCAATGCCATGTTTCTCCTGCCTGCCACACTGCTGCTGCAGTAGAAGTCATGGAGGAGGCGTCTGTAAAGACCGTTGGTCCTGGTTGTGGTCGGTCCATGACCTTCGGTGGCACATCTATGTCGACAATGGTCAGTAGCTGGGTCCAAGGTGGTTTGGTGGCGTAGGAGATTTCTCCTCCGAAGCCAGTGAGAGCGAGGGCCAGGTGCTCCGATATCGCAGTTGACTCCATGGTTGGTCGCTTGAGGAAGGGGAGGTGGATCCTTGCCGGCTCGATTCCCAGGTGTGTCAGGGCGAGTCTCCTGCCTTTCATGATGAGGTTAGCAATGCATTCAACTCCTGGGGAGAATGCGTGAGTTGGTCTTCCAAGGACCACCCATTGGATTGGCTGGGATTTTTCGGAGGGTCCTTGGACCAGTGCTCCCACTCCTCCCTTCTGCGTGAAGTGGACGTATAAGTCCAGCGGTACGCTTGGGTTCCACCTGGCAAGCAGGCTAGTGGACATCTGACGTTCGATGAAGTCGAGGGATTTAGTTGCTTGCGGCGTCAGCTCCTTGGGGTCCCAGGAGTGTTTTCCTTTCAGGAGGTCATACAAGGGGTCCATGACCTCTGGAGGAACTAGGACGATGTTGTGGAGCCGCTGCAGAGATCCCACAAGTCGCTGCATGTCGTGGAGGGTCTTGATGTCTCGGCGGACCTTTATCCTGGGTGGGGTCACGTAGGAGTTTGTGATCCCCACCCCCAGGAAGGTCACGCACGGTCCTCTCTTGATCTTTGTGTTCGCGATCTCAAAACCGTTGGCCTGGAGGGTTTCCGTGATCGTGGACACTAGGTGATCCACTTGGCCTGCTGATGGTGCAGCGACGAGGATGTCGTCCATGTACTGAATGATGGTTGCGGCAGGGTGGGAGTGTCGGACTGGCATCAGTGCCCTGTCCACGGTGATCTGGCATATGGTCGGGCTGTCCACAAGACCTTGAGGTAGCACCTTCCATTGGAAGCGGAGGTTAGGTCGCTCGCCGTTCGGGAACACGACGGAGAAGGCGAACCGTTCTTTGTCCTCAGCATGCAGGGGTATTGAAAAGAAACAGTCTTTGATGTCCAGCACTGCGCATGGCTGCCCTTTGGGGATGGCTGAGTTCGCGGGCAGTAGTGTCTGAACTGGACCCATGGGCTGAATTGTCTTGTTCACTTCCCTCAGGTCGTGGATGAGGCGGTAACCTTCTCCTGATCTCTTGGGGATTACAAACACAGGCGTGTTCCACGGGCTGGTGGAGGGTTCAATGTGGCTCTTTTGTAGCTCGCGGTCGACCAGTTCCAGCAAGGCTGCCATTCGAGGCTTTGACAGGGGCCACTGCTCAACCCATACGGGGTCTGGTGATTTCCAAGTCAGTTTGATTGGCAGCAGTGGGTGTACAGCAGTGGCCCTCATTATAAATTTGTAATCCTGACTCCTAACATAGCAAGGATGTCCCTTCCTATCAGGGGTGGAGAGTTTTGCAAAATGTAGGGGTGGACTGCTACTGTCCGTTCTGGCCCCTTCTTTGTGTGCAGCGTTATAGCTACCAATTGGGTGCTTCTCCAAGCTCGGGACAGCCCTCCCACCCCGTTCACTGGAGGGACCTCCTTGCATTGCCAGTGTCGGGGCCATAGGGCTTGGGGCAGGATTGTGCAGTCTGCTCCTGTGTCTGCCCAAAACTGAAGCCCTATTACGTGGGGGTCCTGACTGCCATAGAGGCGGCATGTCCCCCACACCCTCGGGGGTTCCTTCCCTATTTTCATGGCCAGGGCCACCCAGGGTTCCCGTCCTGGTGTGCCCCCTGCTGACCCCGCGGCACAGGCGCCGCTTGCGGTGGCGGTGGGTACAAAGGCGCCACAGGCTGTGTCGTGAGACTCGGTGGTGGGGGTATGAAGCTGGCTGCTTCCTGTGGGGTATGGGGTATGAGGGCTCCCCGCCCCATTGGGGGTTGGCATGGATGGGCCGCCCATATTCGCAGCGGGAGGAGGCTGGGTGCGGCCCGCAGGCCCCCTCCCTTTCTTGTTTCCCTGGGGCCGGGACCTGCATTCCCTAGCGAGATGCCCTTTCCTCCCGCAACCCCAACAGGATCCCCGCGGGCGTGTTTGAGGTGGAGGCGCTGCGGCGGGCCGCCGTGCCGGCTGGGGGCAGCTCACCGCGATGTGACCCGCCTCACCGCACTTGAAACACGCCATGGCATTGGTCAGGGTGTGGACAGCTGCCTGAATGGGTGTCAGGTGCTCTTCCTTCACTACGTGTCTGATCATGTCAGCCAGGCTAGCTCCGGCTGGCAGGGAGCGTAAAATATCCTTGGTAATAGAGTTGCATTGCTGGCGCAGGCAGTCGGCTACCACGGGGCCCTTTGCCTCTGCCGGCAGGGTGGAGGAGTCTATGGCTGCCTGCAGGTGATCCACAAACTGCGTGAAGCTTTCGCTTTCTGCCTGCCTCACAGTGGACCACGGCGCTGCTTAGCCACGACTCGAGAGGCTGAGCGAATAGCCTCCCTGGCAGCCCGAGTGGTCGCCCTGACCTCCTCAGCATGCATCTGTGCAGCTTGTTGTTGCGGCGTGATCATATCATCATGCTTTCCTATCAGTCTGGATAAGCTCGATCTGTGTAGTGGCTGCCTCGCGCCAGATGCTTGGGCTAACTGCTTCCTACAATTATCCTCCTATTCCTGCCTAAACACGATCATTCCCGCACCACCAAGTATCATGCGCCCTATTCGTTCGATATCAAAGGGAAGCAGGTCATCGTTGCTAAAAAGACCATCGATTAATGTGGAGACTATGGCCGAATTGATCCCTTTTTCCGCGATGGCTTTGACAATTGACTGGACGTCCTTTGGGTTTATCGGGGTATATACCCTTTGTTGGTTCCCCTCCGGATCGGCGAGCCTCACCGGAAAGACTTGTATGGCAGCCGCTGGGGACCATTCAGCACAGGCTATTTTTATTTTCCCCCAGTCGGTAAACTGGGCTGGTTCGTATTGTAGTTGTTTTTCGGTGCAGCTTAGAACTCTACTCGGTTTTGTTTTAAACTGCGCTGGTTCCGTTTCTTCCGTTTCGGAGTCATAGCCGGCTTCCGTCAGCTCCTCCGAGCTGGCGGAGCTGCTGCTGGACTCCGAGCCGGAAGTCGAGTGCCAGCGTACTTCCGGGGCTCGGTGCCTTTTTGTTCGGCTCTGAGCTCGCTCCTCCCCTTGGGGGTGGCGCCGCTCCCGCCCCCCGGGCTCGCCACGCCTCCCGCAGGGGGTGGTTTCTCCCTTATATGGTGGCAGCGCCCGGCGTGGCTGCTGATTGGCTCCGCGCTCTCTGCCGCTCTCCGCCTCTTTCTCCTGCGCATACGCATTCCTGAAATCGCGCGGCTCCCAGGTTTTCGCGCCGAGATTACCCGCGCCCCGCCCCTCCCCACGGCGACCGGCGCCATTTTCAAGGGGGTAAGGAGGCGGCATGGCCAGGGTGTTTTCTCGAGCCGCGGTTTCTGCGTCTCTGGCTTCTTTCGCCAGCCCTTGCCAAAAACGTTCCGCGCCCTGCTGCACTTCTAACAACGGATTGCGGACCGGCAGCGGCGGCGGGATGGGCGGGGAAGCCGCGATTTCTCGGGGAATTTCTGCGGCAGGGACTGGGCTCTGATCCGGGGAAGGGGGTGACGCGCCGAGCCCTCCCGGGTCCCCGCTGCCGGGCAGATCGTTCTCAGGGGCAGTTTGCGTTCCCGCTCCCACCCCGAGCTTGGGAGTAACTAATAAACAGGTACGCGCCGCGCTCCATGTCTCCTGCTCTTCTATTGCTCTGTGCGGGGCTTTCTCTACCTTGCCCCATGCCTTAAGGTTTTTGCCACTGCCTGAGGATTTTGTGTCCTCGGCTAGCGCGGCAGTGCATTTTCCCCATATTTCCAGATGTAATACATCCACAGGACGCTCAATCGCCCCAAGCTCAAGCAGCCTCGCTATAGCAAGATAAAAATCCTTGAGCCTACACCCAATACCCCACTGCTTATGAATCGCACTTACGACCCTGGCGATAGCGTCCATGACGACCGCGGGTCCCGGGACGTCTCCCTGCGCCAAGATACGGTCTGACCGCTCCGGCCGCTGCTCCTGTCCAGGCGTATCCCGTCAGCTGGGCGAATTTTTCCCGGGTTTCGGCACCAGATATGTTGCCTCACAAAGGACAACTGGCGACCTGGTTCAGGGGGCAGCACGGCAGCCCGGTCTCGCCCAGGCTACTCGGGCTAATCGACGCACGCAGACACCAATGTGGCAGACGGTCGAAAAGCCTTTATTATCTCATCTCGTGGGTTTAAATAGTCTCGGGGGTCTTTGTTACGTCAGAGGGGGATTGTGGGGTCTCAGGGGTTAGTCGGGAGTGGAAAATTACTGGAGCAGGTGTGGTTACATGCTTCTGGGGTTAATAGGTAACGTGGGGCAGGGAGAGGGGGAAGGGTCTGTCTTTCCGTCACATCCCGTGATCTTCCGTTCGCCTGTCCCTATCTACCACACTAGTTAGACTTACTGTCTAACTGAGAAGTAAATACAGGCCATCTGCTCCTAAGAAAAGGGCAGAGCTGGCAATGCTGTCCTTTGGTCTCTGCCAGCTGAAGAGTTCAAATGTCTTCAAATGTCTCTGAAGACAGAGAAGATCTAGTATGATAATGCATGAGAGCATCAAGATGTGCTGAATTTTCTTAAGAAAAGCTTTTCTAGGAGAAGGGTTGCATCCTAGAGAGCCACCCAGGGTCAACATCTGGTGATCTATTGCTAGTCATTCCAAATCTGTGTATATTGTGTAAAACCTGGCTTAGACAACAAAGGAATGGCTTCTATATTTCAGCCTGGTTTTCACAGACTGCAGGACAACATCCCATACAAGCAGGATTCCTGACTCTGCTTCAGACAACTCCACGGTGAGTTTGTGGCTGATCCTTTGGCTTTTTGCTATGGGGATTTTGGAAAAAAAGGCAAGAGTTTCCAGAGGGTCTGAAGTGACCTGAGTGCTCAGTTTGGTTCCCACCAAAGCTGCTGCTGAAACTTTTCTTTCCAACCCTCACCTGAAAGGTGCGAGAAGAGCACTCCACAAACAAGGACGATTTGATGGGGTAATGCTCTGGTGTCAGAAGCCTTGGCTTTATCCAAGGGATAAAGGGAGAGGAAAGGGTGAGTCAGCAGCTGCTCTGACAGTGTCTGCTTGCCATCAGCCTGAGGGCTACTTCTTCCTGCTCGGAAGAAGCACATACAGACTAATATAATCTTAAAAATGAGCATCCTCACCTCTACCTACAGACCACTGTACTGACAGAGTGACACAAGACCCTCACAGTTCACCCAGCACATATAGAAATTTCCAGAGCACTGATATTTGCCCTAGGCAGAGGCAGCGTGGTACACAGTGTCCTGTCTAACAGGAGACACCTCCCTGTGGGATGTGCTTTGGGAAAGCTTGTTCACCTCTTTGATCTCTCCTCTACAGTGTCCTGCTGAGACTAGAGACACCATGTTAAGATTGATGGACTTCACTGAAAAACGCTATATGTCCTTTTTTGCACTGATAACTCAAAGAACTTCATAAGGACAGTAGGAACTTCCATCCCATGAGGAGATTCTTCAGCAGTTTCAGGGGGTATCAGGGACTTTGGGTGGCTTGCTGGGACAACAGGATGAAGTAGACTGTAGTACAGTCTAGAACAGATTCCTTACCATAAGTTGTTCTCAGCTGGCATCAGGAACACCTACCCAGAGGCTTCAATGAGGTGTGGAGGTTGGTCTCACAGTCTGCACAGCACCACACCTGGGGGCAGAGCCACATTCAGACACCCAACATTTCAACTTTCTCATTTCACTGCTAATCCACACCCTCTGTGGCAAGGTAACCTTAACTAAATGTAATAAGAACAAGCTTCCACATGCTGTAATCACTAGACATGTTCCCTCTCAAAAGGGACATGTACCTAAAAAAAGTGAAGGACAAACCAGGAATAAGAAATCAGCCATGTAAAATGAAAAGAGCATGTGGCTGCTAACACCAAAATCCTCAACATTTATTGCATGATGCTTCATGCCCTCAAATGCTTTGCAGAGTTAGCAGAGTCCAGCCATGCCCTGATAAGAAGCATGGCTTAGAGCTGACAGGAACGTGCGCAGTGCTCAATGAAATTTCTTCAGGTCTCACCTTGAAAGCAATAAACTGAATAGTGAACTCTGAATGAACTTTGACTGAAGTGTTTACTTCAGTGCAATCAAGTGGCTGGAATAATAATAATAATAATAATAATAATAATAATAATAATAATAATAATAATAATCTTTACTGTTGCAATATAATTGCAATGAAAGCTAGCTAGATACTCTCAAAGCTTCTTGGAAGGACTTCCTTATGATTTACACCCCGTATCTGAAGTACAGATCCTGATACACTTGTACCATACATCTGCTCTCCTGACTTTTTAACCATAGAGTGCTAGTTTATTACTGAGCTTAAGGATAAAAGAAGCAAGAAATGAAAGTAAAAAAAGGTTTCCTCTCCACTAAGTACATTCAGATGTCAGCCTCCAAGAGCCCTATACAATGTTTCATTCCCAGATTGTTTTACCTTCCCACTTCTGAGGCAATGTTGTTATCAAATAGGTTTAATCACAAAAGGCTTGGATTTTAACATGGAGAAATATTATTTGAAGATATTATCAATAAAGTAAATTAAAATTAGCTGCAGTGTATCAGCATGTCAAAACTTCCAAAACGACAGATTTGTGAAACACCTGTTATGAGTCTTCCATCAATCCTTGCTTTGGTGAAAGTTTTCAAGGATGTCCAGGCTGGAGCTGGGAAGTCCTACAGCAATTCATGCTACATGTGAGCATACACCTGCTCCAAAGAAATATTGCTACGGTCAGTTGTTGTCTAGAGGGAAATGTAGCTGAGCACTGGACAGCAATTAGAGTTTGTGCCATCTCACAGACTGAAAGAGAATTAACTTTCCAAGAGGTCCCAAGCTCCCAAGAAAACAATTTACATTTCCATATCTATCTTTGGCAAGGATCCTTGCTAACCACGTGCAGGGGCTTCTCACTGTTTCATTCCTACTCTCGAACGTATTCAAATATACCAGTCTGCTGTACCCACAAAAGATGCACACTACACAAGAGCACGTGAGTATGTATGTCTTTTTGGGCAACTCTTCAGTGGAAGTGATAATGTTAACCTTCCTCCGATGACTTAGCTTAGCCAAAAGAGCATTTTGGCTAAATCCAACCTCCTCCTACCAGTTTCAGAGACAGGCAGGATTTTAATGACTTTTGCATTTTTACATCACCCTGTAATTCCTTCTGATTCTGTAGGCAGTCTGGAACCACAACATTTGACTTCTGTGCAGAACTTGAACATCTCAGCAGAAGTCTTATGGTCTCATGGAAGACTTAGTGTGATTACAGGGAGGGTGAATAGATGCTAAAGTTTAAAACTAATTTGAAAAGCCTAGATATTGATTTGTGGACTCCTTTTTAGTATACAGAGCATCCTCTTTTTGCTCTCGGCTCCCTACTCACTTTCCAGAATGTCTTTTCTCCTAGGATACAGGAATTGCTGAAGCCACTTTCTTTTCTAAAGCCTCCTAAATTTCTTGGACGAGTCTGACAAGACAAATCCCTCTTCCATGCTCCACTTCGTGCAGCTGGAGTAGCCTTAACAAAAAAGGAGAAACTTTGAAGGCTCTTTATTACAGAGCTACATTCAGAAATAGGTTGGTTGCTCAAGCATGATAACAACCGAAGTATAGTGATGGGCCTAGAGGCTGCTAAACTGTGTTGTGCCCAAAAATATCTTTGACAAGGTGCAACAGATCGCCTTCTGGATGAAAGCTGTATGCACACATACTCTATCAAGGCATGAAGGGTACCCTCATTCTTCCCTGTGTGAGCTGGCCAGCAATAAAACAATAGCAAATAATCTGTCTAAAAAGATTAGAGAGTCATAAATGAAGTGTCTTTGCTAGGAATTTAACATTTTGATGCCTGTTAACACAAGTATCAGGCTGTGGGCTATGATTACTTGCTTCATTTCTCCCATGGAACATGCCAATTGTGTTTTAAGGGTGCCACTTAAGCATGTGACTAGATAGCTATAGGGAGAGAAAGTTAAATAGGTCTGAAGTGTGGCAAAACTTTAAGTTAAGCTGAAGGGATAACATAACTAGGAGAGCACCCCTGCTGTTCGCACCCCATTACTGCCTAGATAAGGAGTTATATGCAAACTCCTCATGGTCTCTCCTTTGACATGTTCCTGGTCTTGAAAGTCTTCTGTATGTTGTCAGAGACGATCTAAACCTGCTGCTTCCCTCTCCAACCTGAAATATTCACAGGTTCCTTGCCAGGGGCACATACCTTCTCATGTTCCTCTACTTGAAGCAAAAAAATTAGTGGCTCTCTCTAGAGTGATCACCAGCAAACTAGACAAAGGAACTGACATATAGATTGTAGTAATTTGGGCTTGTAGTTGGCACCTGTGGATATGGCCCTGGGAGCTAATAAATCCCAGCTGGGTTGATGAATCTCTAGCTCTTCTATGTTCTGCAGGCAGTCAGCAGCAAAGCAGGATCTGTCTCTCAGGTACTCCCCCTGCAGCTGTACACCCTCCCCCTGCCCAGTGCTCACACCGCCTTGGCTGACAGAGCAGGGAAGTACAAAGCTGCCTCAGATGCAATGTGTAATTCTGACCTCTCAGGCAAACTTGAAGCCTGTGTGTTCTGTACAACACAAGGCTAATGCTGCTGGTCAGTGGGAGAGAGGAAGGAGCACAACCACCTTCCCAAGAGTGTCTTTCCTGACAGCTTAGATGTGCTTGAGAATAGCTATGACAGCAGTTGATGAGGAATTTCTTGCTGATGAGCACTTTATTTGCTAGCACATGGTTGAGGCACCATATATTAATTGCTACTACTCTAAAATTTCTATCCCCTTTCTAGTCCTGCAGCTACTCATTCCTCAGATGTGCCCACCCTCCAACACTGCCTTCCAGTTATCCTTGGGCACATTTGGTCACATCCATATATTTCATGCATCAAGTGTCTTCATCACAGACATCTTAAAACCATCTTTTATAAGGGTTCCTAGTGATGCCTTTTCCTGGTCTTAAAAAAATTGAGAGCCAGACACGGTTAAGGGATAAAGGGGTTTTACCTCAGTATTTAATAAGGATCCTTATGGTGGGTGGAATGCACCACAATGGATCTCCATGACAGATGGTGTATACAATTTATAGACCTCACAAATTAGCATATCTAGCAGGGGTGCCCCAATGGGAGGCCTGGATGGATGGCATGATATTCCCTCATCTGTGGAATTCCCCCCTGGATGGGCTGAATCTCTAGTTTACAGGATATGTTATAGAGAGCAGCTTGGTTTCCCAAGACAATGTAGCGTTTTCCAGCCTTCTACCATGAGGCCTTTATGATGTTTGGTCTCTTGGCCTAACAGAATACCAGAACTATGCTGAGTTATCAGACTTGAGGAATTACAAGCATGCATGCTAAGAATACTGAGGATATACAGAAGTTATATAAAAGCTATATAAAAGAAAAGGCAAAAAATCATCTTGGCATCACTAGTGCTTCTGTGCTGGACCAAAAGGGGCCCCTCTACATCTACCTGTATGCTGCCTATAGGCTGCTTGACTAATACTTTCCCTAGCAAGGGCGTTATTTTTATTTCCCTTTGTAATGTATGCACTTGGCATGCTTTAGATGCAAACCCTTTTTGAAGTCTGAGACTAAGACTGGACTTAATAATAGCTGTGTTACATCAGCAGTTTAGAATATAAGGGGTCCATTCTGAATTTCATTAATCAGTGGAAGGGTCCCCATAACCCTTTTGTGTCTCTGGTGTAAATAATTCTAAATTTGTTCTAATTCAATGTGCCCTTCTATGTTTCATCCATGTAGTGAGTAATAGAATGGATCTTGCCATCAGACTTTGGGAAGTCATATTTTTAAAATTTTATATTAAAATCATTTTTGCTAACACCTCTGACAGTGATTGTCTAAGTGACCTAACCTACTCCTTTGCAACAATCTAGGTAAGGTATTTACCTACTCAAGGGCTGCTTCTACCTCTTTTCAGCTCCTCAAGTTGTGCTCAGCTGAGCCGCAATGGAGCCTTAACCCCACTAAAAGGCCTGTCTTATTCCCTGACATACACTTCCTTTTATTTGGCAGTTTTACTCTAGTTCAAGTTTGATAATGTATTTATTTTATAACTTTTATAAGGCCGTAGGATTTGAGATGATTCTACTATCATTCTACTGTGGGCTTTTCATGCTAGGTGTGAGTGAGCGCCCTATATATCACAAGTAATCTGACTTTAGCAAACAGAGTGCTTCCATGCAAATGGGCATGTGTTGTGCGAATACATGAAGGCATGATTTGCAGGCTGGCACTGCTAGCTCTGCATCTGTTTCTTGTGTTCTTGCCCAGTGAATTTGCCCTTACCCTTCACAGCTGCTTTTGTGAACCAGGAGGTCTCATGCTGAACAGACTGTCCTGTGAGAGCACTGCAGACATTCCCAGTCTGATGGCATCCACACGGCTGCTTAAAACTCATGTTTTATGCAGGGACACAGCAATTACATATAAAGCCAGCTTACAGCCCACATCCCCTTCTCTACAGAGGCATTTTCTCATGGTGATTAAGACCACAATCAGCTTTGCTTGCTGCTGTAATAAAGCTCATATTTGGGAACAGACAGACTGCTTCCCTCTGCCTATAACTGAGAGCTGAAAACACAGCCATCTGAATCCTATGATCATCTTTGGCCAGTTTTAAAACATTTTCTTCATTGCCACCCAATATAACTGCATTGTGAATAATGATGCCGTGATGCTTGAGGGGACACGGATAGGAAAGACATAATGTAACTGCAAATGTTTACTGTGCGCAAATACAAACACTAAGCAAACGGATGACTTTTCTTTCAAATTTAAGTAGTTTGTTTAGGTGATGATTCACCCTGAGGAGCGCTGCTTTCACTGCATCCACTCACCATTTGTGCATTAATAAAACAGTAAACCACTAATTCTCAGCAACTGCGGAGAGGCAGAATAGTGGTTTTCTCTCTTACATTCTTTTTGAAGACACCATCCAAATCTGTTTCTTGGTATTTCCCCCCCCACCTCCCCCCGCCACCAAGTCCATGCGTCCACAGTCTTACATCCGTTGTGATGCCCTCGCAGTCCAAATCAGAGAATCGGGTCCGTTTTGCGGCAGGTCCCGGGTGTTTGGGCTGGTTGGATGGTGACCAGGCTGCAGCGCAGCTCCCGGACGCCCTGCCCTCGCTGCTCTCCGCTGGCGCAGAGCGGTACTGCCTGCATCCCTGCTCCGACCCCTGCCTACGCCTGCCTGAAGCAGCCGCCAGCGGCTGCCGCATCCCTGCTTTTCCCAGTGCCCACTAGATGACGCCTCTGATTTTAACAGGAGCTCGTTAACCATAGGAATGGAAGATTTCATAGCTTCGCTCTTAATATTCCACATTCTACGTCTGTGCGTGTGTGTGTGTGTGTGAGTGACCGAGCATGTGCGTGTGATGCAAAGAAGACTCAGGATCAAGTAAGACAGGAGACAATCTTCTCTGATCTGTGTTTTCAAGGACTCTGAGGGGACAGAGATACATTTTGTACTTTCACACCCTGTTGCTTCCTGACTTGTGGAATACCAGTGGCAAAGAGGCACTGTTAAATAACCTGCTGCAAATATAATACTGTGGACACAGGCAACCTGAGACCAAACTCAAAAAGAACATTAAAAAGACAGCAACAACATAAATAAACAGGTACATTATAGGCACTCTGTCTGTAGTGTATACCTTGTTTACATATACAGGAATAAAGGAGGTGGGCAACGGAGCTCTCAGTCTCCAAAGTCCTTTAATTGCTGATATGCCTCAGAAATGCCTGCAGCAGAGCTAAGTCAGTGCCCTAGTTAAAGAATAGCAAGGGACACTCCTTTTCACCTACCTGCCTTTTAGCACTAATGTAGTTGAGTCTATAAAATCAAGACAGAATTTTATTTTAAAGTTACATAAAGCAGTTAAGACTAATGTTCAATACAGACCACAAAATAAATTTACTAGTCATTGTTACTAGTTACAACAAGTTTCTTTATTTAAATTATCTTGATTGGTTTATAACAGGCAATTACAACTTCTTCCTCTAGGAGCAGGTGCTCCTGCTTCCTTTTGCTGTTTCTTTTCTGCAAGTGACATTGTAAATGTGGGTGGGGAAAATTAAAAGTTTGTACAGCAACATATTCCTGTTCTTGGACAATACAGCCTTCAGTTTACCAGGGGCTGAAGGTGAAATCCTGTCATTAGAAACTCAAAGTGTGTGCTGGCTATGGGAGGACTCTGCAGGGAAAAGCACAGCACAAATGGAGCGCAGCTGTTTTCTCTGACAGACCTGGGCCTGTCCTTGTAGTGCTTCAAAAAGAACAGCCAGAGAGGAAAGGTAGGTTCTAATCAGGAGGATCTAAGTGGTCATGATGCTAGAAATAACAAGCAGTCACATATACCGTCATGTCAAAGAAATTTTCTGAAAGCTATTTCTTTCCAATATATTAGGAGAAACATAAACTGTTTACAGGTTGACCTTCCATGGCTTTTCTTTTTTGACCCTGGGATTCTTGAGACTGCCAAGTGATTCCTCCCCTAATTTCATTGTCAATCCTCCTGAAAACTTCAGAAATGCCAGTTAGCACCACTGTTGGCCAGTAGTTGAAGGAGCAACTGTGCTGTTTCATTACCTAGAAGTCTTTTTCATATGTGTGAACCATACTAAAAATGCCTAGAGAGTTTTATATTAACCTAGCTTCACCCTCTGTGCTACCAATTATTGCTTTTAATCAGCATTTCTGTTGCTGTTTACAGCCTCTTCTGTAATGGACAAAACTGTTTCATAATGTGAAAATAGCAACAAGAACGCAAATTGCCCCACATCTATTCAAATGGCAAAAGCGTTCAGGACTTCCTTATGCAATAGGAAGAAGTAAGAATGGGCATATGTCCAGCATTTTTTCCCATCCAAAAATGCAACCAAGCAGCTCAGGTCACTGCATCACTTCATACCTTCTGAGTATTGTAAAATATCACAATACCCTTACATTCACAGTGTAGGCAGGCTCTGACTTGTGACTCCTCAGATCTGTCTGAAAAACTTCACTTCTAAACAGTGTTATATACCTTTCTCTGCAAAAGGGCCTCAGTGATTCCAGGGATTCATAAAGGGAGGGAGATGTCTAGGCTATGGCCCAAATTGCTTTTCTTTCCCTTCAGCTGGGTAGAAAATGGACAGAAATGAATGTGATGTATTAACATCCAGTCCTTTTGCTCACTGTCCTGGAACATGACATGGGCAAAGTAACATTCCAGTCTGAAGTTGTTAAAACATGCTGTCTAGTACATTGCTTGACACAGCTTGCTTTCCTTGGTTAAATGAGACCTACAAGCAAGCTTCCTAGACATGATTTTCCCCATAATTAGTATTTTTTTTACATTCTTCTGCAATAGCATTTGAAATATTTTTACCTCTGGCTAAAGAGACAAGTTGAATTTCTTGGTCTCAAGGTAGTATCTAAAATACAGCTGGATAATAATAAACCTGTTTTAAAAGCTTGAGTTCAGTCCTGCAACACAGGAAGCAAGATGCACAGACTTTCTTTAGCTTCCATTTCAGGGCCTAACCCCCTGTGGCCTTGTGCACCCATGGGTGATGTGGAGAAGCACTCCTTTTGCTTGTCAGGCATGAGAGATTTGGGTGCTGGGTTAGGTTTGAGGTGGATCAGGAGATGAATTGCAGCTCTCTTTTGGGCCAATTATTTGTCTCCTCATCACCAAGCATGAACAATCCTGAACACAAAAACCTGGTAAAGTTGCTGCACATAGGCCCAAGAGAGTGCATAAATTCTCTGACAGAAAGCTCTTTGTGGGGTTGTGGTGTGACTGCAGAGTTGTTTTGCTGCAGAGAATGGTGTTTTGTTAAACAAGACTTCTCTGAAAAAGGAATCAGGTCCAAGATGAAGGACAATGAGTTATCGTCATCATTTTCGTGGCAAGTTGGAAAAAACTTGGAAAAAAATTCTGCTGTGGAGTGGCATGAAAGTGACTAATTCTTTGTCTTCCTCCTTTCTGGGGCAGTCACACTTTTACTGACATGCTTGGTGGTTTAAATTTCCACAATAACATGCTGTTGCTCTTCAGCAGGACTGTTCACAGCCCACAAGGCTGGTAAATCCCAAATGTGTAACACTAATCAGTAAATTTGAGAGGCCGTCCTGGAAGCACTGGTTAGGAGACCTTGTGCTTGGATGTTTCTCAGACCATCTTCCAGATCACATTCATGAAACCTCTCCAAGAAACTTGATGCTCTTTTTCCAATTTCACTGCATTCATGCCCATTCTCTCATTGAACTTAGAGAGAAAAATAGGATGAATGCTCTTGATTCATGTTGAATATGTTCTTATATGCTTAAGCTCTTTGAAATCAACAGAAGTCATATGAAAAAGTTGCTCAGCACAGGTAAGGAACACAGAATAAGGGAACGTGTTGCACATCTGCTGTCTTTTGCAGTGCGATTCAGTCAGAAAGCATTTAAAGAGGCTCTAAAAACATTAGTTAGGTCAGAAATGTCAAACATGCCCTCTACAATACTTTTAAACAAATGCTATTTGTAAGAGAAGTGTAAAAGCTACCCTCTAATGCACAGCAACCTGGATGGGGCAGAACCCTCCCACATCTGTTGCAAAGAACTTCTCTGTTCCTTTTTTTTTGCTCATTATCAAGCCACAAGACTCTACCTGTGCTTCACAAAGAGCAACTTTTGTGGTGTTTACACAGGTGGGCTAGGCAAGGGGGTGTGAAGGCTTTTGGCAGCTGTGCAAAAGGCTGATGTGAAACTATGAGAATATGAACACTTCTAGGGTTGAGTTATTTAAAACACACATTTTTGAAAGTGCAGTGAATTGAATTCCATGCTTGCAGAAGATAAATATAATGCTAACACAACAGATCAGAGACTGCAGTCTGGTATTCATTGCCTGAACACAGGTCAGAGTGGCTCTTTAAACCTTCCCACAGCATCTGCAGCCACCAAACCTCCACCATGGTCTGGAAGGATTACTTGTGGAGGGTGAGAGCTTAGCTCATTTCCTGTGCCCTTGCAGGCCTTGGTCTTTCTGTTGAGGCTGCTGCTTATGTGATAGCCTGAACAGCTGGTGTGTAATGGGAATATTCTTGAGGAATTCAAACTGGGGACTTAGATACGGAGGGGCTTCCTCCTCTGCAGGAATTATAAGTTGCAGTGGTAAGAGCAGAATTTTGGGGGTCCTCTCTGAAAAGACAAAGGAGAAATGCAACTTGGAGGCAGGGAGGGAGGTGTGGCACCTTATGGCCACCTTGAATCTCCTGGGCTGCAGTGCTGGTGGGTCAAGGAAAGCAGCAGCAGAGGCCCTGTTATGGTGGCTCAGTGGAGCAAAAGCAAAGCCAAGCTGCATGCAAAGCCGGGCAAATGGCTATGCTTGGTGAGCCTTCCTATCCTCCAGGATCAGGGGTGGGCGCAGAAAGATTATAATCACTATCACTCCCATTCAGGGCATTTTTGAGTTTATTGTGTAACTCATGCATAAAGCAAGAACACAGGGAAGGAGGCAGATTTAGAAAAAAATTGGAAGGATTGGCTGAAATGGAGATTTGTTTCTCAGAATGCAGAGCTAAATTCATAGGCTGTATTCCTAGAGCTGCAGGTCCAGGGTGGCATTTCATAGTTGTTCTACTTATATCCTTCTTTGGCACAGATGGATGCTCAATGAGCAGTCCTTGTGAGACCCAGGAGTGATGCTCTCTGTGCTTTGTACAGTAAGAGTTTCTCAGAGGTAACTCAGGCTGTCTTTAATGAAAAAATTGGCATCTAATGGAACACAGATTACTGTCCAGAACAACATACATACTGAGTGCAGCTCCACCAAAGCTTGCAAGGGCTCTGGAGTGGAGAGAGATGCTTTTCTTGTCTGCCCTAGTTTTGGGTCCCCGTTGATTTCAGTGCCTCAGGATCAGTCCCAGGGATTGAGGGGAGGGCATCCCTTCTCCCTGTTCTGTGGTGAGTCACAATGCCATTTGTCAGCCTCAGCTGCCCAGCTATGGGTTGGACATGTTCTTTCTCTACAAGAAGTGATCAACACTGAGCTCCCTGGTTGAAGCAAACATGCTGAAAGGAAGTCTAATTGAGCCAGCCAAAGCCAGCCAGCCCAATTGAGCCAGCCTGAGACTGATCCATCTCAGGGTCGCAGTGTAGGACTGTGAATTTCCTGGTGCTCAGTTCTGTGTTCCAGCTACAAAGATG